TCTGGACACATAGGATTACCTTACAGGGTCTATGGAGTAGGGGACTGTCCATATTAATTTCCCCTGTGAGAAACAAAGTGACCAGTTGTCATCTCTTCATAGACTCTGAAGGGTCAGAGTGTAAAGAGACCCACAAATGGGGAAACCAAGATTCACACAGGAAAGTGCCTTGCTTTCCATAGCTGCCTAGAGTCTGGTCTCCACCCCACTGACGCTACTGATTTGCTTCTTTGCATGGGTTTTCTTGAACTAGCGCCAACCCCCACCTCATTCCCAGAGGAGTCTCACCTGCCAAGAAGACTCCAGTCAGGAGGAGAGGCAGGCAACCAGGGCAGGCCATGGCCAGAGGCAGAAGGCTGTTCTGGAGTAGTTCTGTTCTGCTGTGCTCTGGGTGCTGTGGTACAGGAATGGGGAAGCCACTGGACCACAATAGAGCATGCAAATCAGCCCACCGATTGAAGAGGGGAGGGCGTGTCCAGGCCAGTGTCAGGTCCTGTCTTCCATATGTCCTGACAACACAGCCAGCAGCAGGAGATCACAAGCTCAGCAGCCTTCACATCGTCCAGTTCCAAGAAGCTGGAATTCCCCAGGGAGCCCCACATACTCTTTTCTAGTCATTAACAGTGTCTTACCCACTAGAGCAGTGGTTCTCAACCTGTGGGCCCTCACCCTTTCACAGAGGTCACCTAATACCATCAGAAAACAGATATTTATATTACAATTCATAACAGCCCCAAAATTATAGTTATGAAGTAACAGCAAAAATAATTGTATGGTTGGGGGTCACCATTAAAGGGTCACAGCATTGGGAAGGGTGAGGACCACTGCTCTCTAGAATGTCCTCAAAAAGGTTCAGGTGTCCCCAGCTTGACACTGTTGGGGGTAAAGGCCTAGTGGGATGTCTTTACATCAAGAAGACTATGGCCTTAGTGGGCATATTCTTCTCTCTTGCTACATGGCCCGCTATGACTCTGCTCTACCCCATGCTCTCTGCCATGGTGCTGCCATGACTCAGTGCACGACAGGCCCAGAATCAATGGTAGCGTGGACTGGAACTCCAAACCTATGAGCTAGAACTAACCTTTCCTCTATGAGTTGATTATCTCAGTTGTTACAGTGATGGGAAACGAATACAGTCTCCCAAGAAACAGTCATTCTGGTTTTTACCATGTTAGATTAATTCTGTTTGCTGTAGAAATTCTACTCTAAGTAGAACATGTGTGTATCTATCTATCTATGTACATATGTATTGCTTCTTTTGTCCAACTTTAAGAGTCAACCATATGGGCAGGACACAATGGTGCCTACCTTTAGTTAGGCCAGTCACCTGACTCTGAAATAGGGGGGAGGAGGAGAAGGAGGAGGAGGAGAGCAGCCTTCCCTCCCAGAGTCTGTCTCTAGTTGCCACCGTCTCCACACTTAAAGCATCTAAGTTATGTTCTGTAGGACATAAGTCCTTGAAAAGTAGTAAGTGAGTAAGCTTTGGAAACAGCGCTTGCTTCCACAGCGCTGTTCTGAGGACTGAGATGGCTTTAAAGTGCTGTATACGACATTTAAGATGGGCACAGCGGGGGCTGGAGAGATGGCTCAGTGGTTAAGAGCACTGGCTGCTCTTTCAGAGGACCTGGGTTCAATTCCCAGCACCCACATGGCAGCTCACAACTGTCTGTTACTTCAGTTTCAGGGGATCTGACACCTTCACACCAATACACATAAAAAAAAGTTAAATAAATCATTAAAAAAAAAAAAAGATGGGCACAGTGGCACCCACCTCTAATCCTAGGACCTAGTAGGCTGAAGCAAAAAGAACTCTGAAGGAGGAAGTAAAAGAAATAAACTCATGTTTGTATCTTTCTTTTTCTAAGGGATTTACCAATAAACTTACTTCAAAAATACTAAGTGACACCAAGGTAAAATGTAGCTCAAGGAGCATGCCGCTGCCAGGCAGTTTAGAGAAGACGACTCTGGATGACAATGCCAACCAAACCCTGTGCGTGCCTCTGTCAGAAAGAGCATCATTCTGCCAGCCAGGCGGGATGATCCTAGTTAACAGCTGCCCAGGCAATGCAGCTGTGGTCTGTCTCATGATAACTCTGGCAATAATTTTACATTGGAAATCTCCCCATTTGTCAAACAATCAAACCTTAGGATTTCTGCTCTGCAAAAGATGTTTAATTGTTCAAAGTATAACTCGGGGCCATGAAACTATAGAGGTAGAAAGGGATTTCCGTTCAAGGCTAGTTTCAGTTTGTGCATTAGCAGGAACCAAAATCGTGCACTATTACTAGAGAGTTTTCCCACCATTTATTTCTAAGTGGTGGAGTGATTTCTCACTGGGAAGGCATATTAATTCTGGAACATCATGAATCAAGACCATCTGGGCTACATTCAAAACCTGTCTCCTGTAACAGTAACAACAAAAAAGTACTGCGAAAGCCACAGTAACCACAAAGTCACAACAAGCCTGCGGGTCCTGGTGTCTATTTCCCTTTTACAAATGAAAATCATGAGGCTAACAAAAGAAGAGAGTTTATCTAGGGGCACCGTGGGTCAGTGGTGAGCTAGATGGAGGACCCAGTTTTCATCCAACTTACCCGTCCAGAAACATGCCTGCAGAAGGCAGAACAAACAGCCTAACCATGGGGCTACCCTTCTGACACTAGGCTTGGAGGGTTCTAGTGGAGACAATACAGAACACCAGAGCAATGTGAGAGAATGAAAAAGAATGAGGAATAGAGTAAAAAATCAGTTAAAGGATGACCACAGAGATGGAAAACAAAACACTGAAATGTGAGAACGTAGAACACAGGAGACAGGGAGGAAGAAAATGAGAGACAGGCAAATGCAGGACTGCGAGGGAAAGCCAGAGTTGCCTGGGAGAACTGGGATTACAGCTCAGCGGTGGAGCACTTATTATTTGTGAGTCTCTGGATACGAAAGAAGTTGGGGGTAGGGGGGAGTAGCAGGGGCAGTAACTTGTAGTGAGGAATAAAAAGCAGGTATTTCTGGCCTGCTATAGATCTAGGAGGCCCAGAGCCAAAAGAGACAGAAAGCAAGACAATGCAAAACAAATACAAATCAGAAAACACATTCACCAGATGACCCTGCAGTTCTCCTGTGGTATTCACTGGGCTAGAGAAATGAGAACTGCTCCCACAAGAACTTGCAGACAAAAGTTTTTATTCATCATCTCCCCAAACTCCAAAACAATGGCAGGTGAACGAGTGAGTCAATTCCCGGACACACAAACGACTCAGCACTCCTCAGCAATTAAGAGGGAAACAGCTACTGACACCCACAGCCTGGATCTTGTTGAGTGAAGATACTGTAGACCCTATACTCTGAGCCCACTTATGAGACAGCCTGGATAAGATCCCTAAGGAAACGGCTATGGATGCCAGGGACTAGAGCTGATTATACAAACACCAACAACAGACAGAGAGCCTCTAAAGATGGAGGGGGCTTGGGAAACTAAGATAACATTGCAGGAGGGTTACAGCCTGCAGTAGCACATTAGGAGCCAACCAAGGAGGCTTGAAGCAAGAGGAAATATTTAAAGTTGAAATGAATTACATAGGTATTTTGAAACTAACCCTTGGCTACAAGGATCAATAACAAAGGTGGCCAGAGTCCAAGACTAAACACACAGTTGCTGGGTGGATGGCATTGCAGGCATGTTTCTGTGTAAGGTTGTGGTGGCCTTTGTGCAAGTTGTGGTTGTGGCAGTCTTTTGTGGTTAATTCTTGTCATTAGACATACATGCATAAAATTCCCAACTGTACTTATCCAGCTTTAGTTATTTGGAGGAGGATGGAAGCTAAGGACTATTCTTCCTTCCTTCCTTCCTTCCTTCCTTCCTTCCTTCCTTCCTCTCTCTCTCTCTCTCTCTCTCTCTCTCTCTCTCTCTCTCTCTCTCTCTCTCTCTCTCTCTCTTTCTTTCTCTCCCCCCCCTCCCCGTTTGTTTTCCAAGACAAGGTTTTTCTGTGTAGCTGTCCTGGAACGCGCCCTGTAGACCAGGCTGGCCTCGAACAGAGATCTGCCTGCCTCTACCTCCCAAGTGCTGGATCTAAAGACATGCACCACCACCTCCTGGCTCAAGGACTATTTTTATTCTCACAATTTCAAAGAGTCACAACCTATGGAAAGGGATGATGGGAACATTCTGTATCCTGGTTGTGGTAATCAGAGATTTGTCAAAGCGGCGCCAACAAGATGGCTCAGTAAGAAAAAGAGCTTGCCACCTAGCCTGACAACCTGAGTTCAGTCCCCGGAACCCACAGGGTGGAAGGAGAGTGCCGGCTCTCACAAGTTGTCCTCTGACCTCCACACATAATGCAACTGTGTACATACATACATACAAAAAACACATACACAAAATAAATAAAGTGTAAATATTTTTTCCTAATTTGAAAGCATTCCAAAGGGGGAACATACTTTATACCTCCATAAATGTGACTAACAGGAGAAGACAAAAGGAAACAAGAACAGAAGAAAATAATTGGAAGGCTGGGAGAGAGGAAAAGAAAGCCACACGGAAAGAGGTCATTAGTGAGGGAGGGTGCTCACATCTCTGCAGCCTGCACACTCTCTCTCCCTGCTAAGGGATGGGGTCTCTGAAACAGTACCTGGGCATCCTAGGGACCTCAATCTGGAGCCTCTACTAGGGGCCTGACCAGAGCTCCACCTGAAGGCCCGCCCCAGAAGGTCCAGTTACCAGGATACAGGGGATAAAGCATTTCCTGCCTAGATGTCTTGGCAGCTCCCACTGCCATGGAGACCATTGGGAGCTGAAGGAGCTGCTGACACCCAGAAAGCAGCAGAAGAAAGAGGAGGCCAGTGGTCGTGGACTAGCTGAGCAAGGGGGTGAGCAGGGGCCATACCCAAGCCAGGAGCCAAGCCCACCTACTCAGCACAGTTCCCAGGTGGGAGCTGTGGATGGAAGCCTCAGGAGGAGGGGGTTCAGAGAGCCATGATCTGTCTATCCTCTGCCTTCTGCAACCATGTTTATCACTGTGATGTTTGGAGGTAAGCAGGGTCCCCTGTTCACACAACATAGGGACCATATTCAGAGTTGTTCGTCCTAGAGACCTAGGAAGGAGAGATACAAGCTAGGAGGGAGCATGGGAATTTAAGAAAGCTGTTCCTATGAGGTGGCAAAGCAATGCCAGGACAAGGGGCAGGGCCAGAGTCTGGGAGGACTTCAGTTGTGGTTCCCAGTCCTCTACACAGCAAGAGATGGGTGGAAGGGTTTCCAATGCAGTTTGAGCAGCATTTGCCAAGGGTATTAGGCCTGAAGCACAGTACTAATGCCATAATTCTAATGTCATCTCTAGGCATGGGAGAGAAAGTTCTCCGAGTTGGGGGAGACAGTGACATTCTACCTACTCAGTTATGTCCCTCCCTTAGCTGGTTGTCAGGTGCTGGTGAACCCCTGGTGCAGCTTGGTGACCTTTATTATGCATCTGAAACAGAAGGCTCAGGTCCCCCCAGAAGGTGAGAAGACCTGGAGGACCTGGCGAGAAAGGCCTGAGGGTCCCATGCCGGGATGCATCCTACCCAGCTTATTTTCCATTTCTGTCCAGTAACCATTGCTCTTCTGGCTGAAGATGGGCAGCTGGTGAGGCTGGAAGAGGGGATTGCCCAGGCCCCCTCCATGGCCTGTTCCCTGCTACAGGAGCATGGGACCTATGTCCTGGTGCAGGTCATTAGTAAGTGGGGCCCAAGATTCTCCTTTGCAGCTGTGTTGGACTATAAGGGAGGGCCAGCAGGCCACAGACAAGCTAGGATCCCGTTCAGTCTCAACATTGGCTGGGTCCTATACCAATGCCTGTCCTGACCCCAAGCCTAGATCAGCTTTATATGGGGACCACCAAGCCAGCCTAGGGTCCTTTGCTCTTTCTATACTCTGCAGAAGGGAAAGATGGGACTCCCACTCGCTATGAGTCCCTACTGGACAACCTAGATGACCACTGTCCAGAGTTAGCTGGTAAGTATCAAGATAAGTGGAGGTAGGGCAAATCTACCCAGTTCCCAGCAACAGGATTTCCTGGGCCTTCCAGAGGAGCTGTGCTGGCTCTCCGGCCTTCCAGGCACAAGCAACAGTCAGAGAAGACGAACAGGCATTCGACGTGGCCACCACCGGGAACAAGGTCCCCCTTCAAGGTCTCGAAGGGTGGCCTCCCTCCCATATAGAAACCGCTAGCTGGAGCCAGAGCCAGGTACAGAAGAGGTACGGAAACCCAGGAAGATCCAAACAGGGAGCCCTTCCCGAGGGACATGGGTGATGAGGGGTACAGCCTTCACACACATACGCACCCAGAGCAGTACACATTAACTCCTGCTATCCTGCTGGAGTGTAAGCATCCTAAAGGCAGAGAGAGATGCTCTGAGTCTAGGAATCTGGTACCCGTTTCTCCAGCCTGGTACAGCGTAGGTGCTCAATGCACCATTGCTGACCGAACTCAGAGAAAATAGCAACAGCGTGTGACTAACCGCTCTGTGCTGGGGTCCCAAGGGCCCACTTCCTTTCCAGCAGGTCCTACGACCTGGCGCACCACAGCCAAGTAGCCCAGCTGGACTTGGATCCAAGGGGACTGGCCCTGACCTCTGCATTATGACCGACTGCAAACAGGCCCGTCCAGCCACACTCCTCTTTCAGAACCTGGCATTACTAAGAAGTTGCATCAGCAAGAAGAGAAAGGTCACAGACAGGATGTGAGACGCCCCCCTTCACCCCCACATGTGAGGGCAGGGAAAAGGATCCAAGGACAAAAACAAGAAGAGTGAGGGAGCAGATGTCCCCGTGGGGCAGAGACAGCAGGCTTCTCTTGAAGGGGCTAAGGCCCTTGGGTCATCTGCAAATGTCTCACCCCTCTCCCCAATTTAGAGATCCCCAGAGTAATCTGTCTTTAGCTATCCACATGCAGATTATAACGGGGATCCTCCCACCCCATCCCCAGAGGTTCAAGGACAGCCTAGGGTTACACAGCAATAGATATTCTCTCTCTCTCTCTCTCTCTCTCTCTCTCTCTCTCTCACACACACACACACACACACACACACACACACAGCATAGTACGCTAATGAGACATACATTCACCCATCCCCCCGACCCTCTCTCCCACCAGACAGGGAATCAGTGGGCACACAGAAGACTGTGGTCTAAAGTAAACTCTTTAATTGAACATTTATGTCTTTTGTTAATCCGTGGGGTGAGAATTACCCTCCTTACTCCAGTTCCAGGTACAATCTCATCTTGGTCAGGCTGTCGGTGAGGGGTTAGGGTAAGAGCAGGCCCATGGCCTCCTCAGGGCAGGGAGCTCAGACCTGTGGAGGGAATCACAAGACAAACCAGTGATGGGCAGGTACCGGAGGGTCTGCCAACCCCAACCCCACCAGTGTCACCCCCTGCTCACCATGATTGTATTTACACTGCTTCAGGGCCTCACTGAAGCCCTCGCATAGGGTTAGGTCACTCTGAGTGGTGGAGCAATCCAGGAACTGCTTGATCTCATAGGAGCAGGGCCCCATCTGTAGGGGGTGAGAGGCCTGACGGGCAGGGGCCTAGGGGAGAGTATAAGAGGCAAAACTGTCAGCTTAAGGTTGGTACCCAACATCAAATACCAAAGTTGGAAGCTTCCTGCCTCTCCCCATAACCCTAGCCCTGGTCCCCCAAGGATGGTTCAAGGCAGGCTGAGTGACCAGGATGAGATTGCCCTATTGCATCCCTGGCACAGGGTGAACCCAGCAGCCCCTCTATAGGTCACTCAACAGATAGGCAGGGGTTTTCTATCTGTTCATCTCAAAATGAACATGCTGGGGAAATGCAGGCGGGGAAGAGAAGGTTCTAGAAAAAGCTGTACACTACATGTGTACACAGAGTGACACAGCACCGTCCTGGCACAGCCACAGGGAATCTCATGACCCAGGACTCACACTGCAAACTAGTATCTGGATTTGGCTCAAGTCTGGTGGGAAATAGCAGAACCCTAGTGGGGCACAGGTCACCAGGAAACAGACGCCATGATGGCAGGTTGGGCTCTGGTGAGCACAAGGGCTAGGGAAATAAATACTGCATCTCTCCCTGCTCAGCTAGGGTTAGATGTCTTTGGACAAGTTTGCGCTCATCTGAGCTGGGGTTTTCTCCATCTTTCAAGGTCTAGTGGGTGTCAGTCTCCAGCAGTCAGACATTTTACCCGCAAACGAGAGTTGGGGCGAGCTTCCCAGGTAGGGACAGTTGGTTTAACATAGGTTAGGACCCTCTTTTGGTCACAGTCCTGGGCCCCGGGGCAACTCTGAACTGGGTCACCCCTCGCTGGACACTTAAGTGGTTCCTTTTGTCTCCTCGAGAGAATCCTGCCTCCGTTTCTCTTAAGTCCTCTCGCTCACCTGCTGGACGGCAGGCTGGGCAGGCTCCGAGCTTCCCCCACTGAAGGCGCTGGTCAGGGCATTACCCATGACATGCCCAACAGCAGAACCCACAGCTACGCCAGCAGCGGTGGACGCCATCTGAGCCATAAGGCCCGGCTGGCCAGAAGAGGCAGGGCCCGGGGCAGCCGCTGAGGGTGGTGGGTGCGCAGGAGGGTGGGCTGGGCGGCTGCGGGAAGCAAGGGGAGGCAAGGTTAAAGCTCCGGAGAACAAGCCCCTCTGCTCCGGGGACCGGTCCTCCCCCAAGCCAACATGGCGCAGCAGCCTCCAAGGTCATTCTGCGGACGCCCTTGGGAGAGTCCCCACGCTTCCCTCGCCCCTCCCCACGGAGGTCCCTGTCCCCCGCCCACACACACACACACACACACCTGGCCGGCCTGGCAGCCGCGCTGCGGCTTCCCCGAGGCATGACACTGGTAGGACCAAGGAGGATCACAGCAAGAAGCGTGGACCGTAGCAGCAGCTCAGTGCGAGCAACAAACGCTGCAGCGTGCGGCTAGTCAGGTGAAAAGGGTGGGATCTGAGGCGGGGCCTCTGGGACACACCCACAGATGGGGGGGGCAAACCGCCCCTGGCCAGTAACCTTCTGGATTAGGGCGCTGAGCCATCCCAGTGCGGGGCGGAGCTTTGAGGGTCAAGAAGACCCCGGTCAGTGTTGTAAACCCCTAGGCTTAAGCAAGCAGGTGCAGAGTGCGCCTTGTTAGGACCGTCGCAGAACCCAAGGGGTTTGTCACGAGTCCCGGAGGAAGAAAAGACACACGTAGGCCATCAGCGGGACAGGGAACAGAGATTCCAGGCCGGGATTTGCTCCCTGACTCCTGTCACAAGATAGGGTTTGACAATAGCTTTTCCAGGATCACCATAGGACTGGATGGAGCCTGAAGGTCTTTAGTGGTGCGTTATCAGAATCCGAGCTAGGAGGTGTCTCGATCCTTCCTTGACTCTCACATTGCGCTGGCATCCTTGAGCTATGCCTGTCCTAGGTGGCCCTAACCCTGAGACCACACTACCACCGGCCCCTTAACCCTGAGATCACCCTACCACAGTCATCCTCGAACACAGCGCCAGAAACTGGTAGTGTTTTTGAAACACACAAGCCATCCCGGAGGTGACCTGAATGCCTAGAAGTGTTTGCCAGCAGAGGTCAAACCTAGGGCTTGTCATTTTTAGCACCTTTGGCCTTTGTTTGAGAGCACTGGAGTCACGTCATAACCTCTGACAGAAAAAAAAAAAAGTTAAAAAACCTGGGTGGTGGTGGTGCACGCCTTTAATCCCAGTACTTGGGAGGCAGAGGCAGGTGGATCTCTGTGAGTTCCAGGCCAGCCTGGTCTACAGAGAAATTCCAGGACAGCCAGAGCTACACAGAGAGATCCTGTCTTGGAAAAAAAAAATAGTAGCAGTAGTAGTAATGATAAATAGTGAAGTAACCTCTGGCCAGAGTAGGGTGGCACAGAGGGGCCATGACTTCTTTCCCCTCTTCTGTCACTGTTTACTGTAACAGCAGAAATCACACCTAGCACCAAATATTCAATAGAGCAAAAGTCTCAGGACCAGGGGGTCAAAACTATTCAGGACCATACACTGGATATGAAGGCCATGACCATTCCCGGGTCCCTAACTTACTTTCTTCTTTCCTCCCTCCCTCCCTCTTTCTTTCTTCTTTCTTTCTTTCTTTCTTTCTTTTCTTTCTTTCTCTCCAAGACAGGGTTTCTCTGTGTAACAGCCCTGGTTGTCCTGAAACTTGATTTGTAGACCAGGCTAGCCTCGAACTCACTGAGATCCCCCTGCCTCTGATTCCCAAGTGCTGATTACAGGCACGAGTCACCACTGCTTGGCCCAAACCTTGTTTCTTTCAGCAGCCTCTGTAGCCAGCTCTCTTCTACCAGGACTTCTGAAAGGGAGTCCTTACCTATTTGCAGGGTTTATTTCCCAGTGAGGCAAGCAGGTAAAACATGAACCACTCTTTCCCTCCCCCCAAAATGCCAGGCTTTGCTCCAAACCCACTGGCTTATAGGTCTGGTCTCTGCTTACCTGGGATGCAGTGGTAACATCCTTCCAGGTTCATCTTCTGCAGGCGTCTGTGGCTAGCCCACCTGTATAAATGCACATATCTGCTTTCCAGATCCTGCACTGGTGTGGTAATGCCTTAGCCGCTGGCTGGTAAGTTGCTGGTTTCTCAACTTACATGCATTCCTGGCAATGCTGAAGGCTGCTTATGTGCTGCACAAATGAAATGTTTTAGGGTTGGGGGGATTGTTTTGTTTTGTTGAGACAAGGTCCTTCTATGTAGCCAGACTGTCCTGGAATTCACTGTGTAGACCACACTGAACTCAAACTCACGGAGATCCACCTGCCTCTGTCTCCCAGGTGTTGGGATTAAAGATATACATCATCATGCCCAGGCTAGCCTGGAACTCACAGAGATCTGCCTGCTGGGAGTGCTGGGATTAAGGGTGTGCACCACCACTGCCTGGCAAAGGTGAGGCTTTTTAAAAGATCACAGATGGCCAAGTAAAACCGACTGCTCTATGGCCTCCACCTTGCAGCAGCTCAGGGCCCAGTCTGCCTGCCTGTCTGAATCTTAGCTTTGCAGGTCTGCCATTGCATCGGAGAGTCCCCTTGTCATCAAAGAGGGTACACAGCACAGTTGCAGGATGGGATATTTGTACACTGTGTGAAAGTGTATTGCTGTGGTTTGTGTCATGAAAAGTTGAACGGCCAATAACAAGGCAGGAGGTGCATCAGGGATTTCCGGGGAGAGAGAGGAAGAGGAGTAGGAATCTAGGCACACAGGAGACTCCAGGAGACAAGGAGAGGAAACAGGAGGAGCAAAACAGAAAAGGGGTTACGCCATGTGGTAGAATGTAGATCCATATAAACGGGCTAATTTAAACTGTAAGAGCTAGTTAGGAACAGCCTGAGCTATAGGTGGAGTTTTCATAATTAGTAAGTATCAGTGTAGTTATTTGTGAGCTGGTGGCCTAAGGGAAAGCCCACCTACACAGATGGGCACCCCCTGCAGAGATGAGAGTGGATGAACTTTTCTGGCATGTGCACTTCACTCTCTCACCTTTGATTCTCTCCTTCACCTCTCAGATGGCTGAGTCAGGAAAAGGCTAGGGTCTGAACAACCTGGGCCTCCAGTGCCCGACTCAGACCTCCGCCTCTGCTCCTCTCCTCCCAGCCATCTGACCTGCTTGTCCGCTAGCACAGAAGTCTGGTCTCTCCCTCCAAGATTCTCCGGAACTGTCTCTGGCCCGTGTGTCTGTGTGTGTGTGTGTGTGTGTGTGTGTGTGTGTGTGTGTGTGTGTGTGTATCAGTGTGTGCCTAGTATCCTTGGAGGTCAGAAGAAGACATCAGATCCTAGGATAGCCACCATGTGGGTGCTAAGAATGGGACCTAGTTCTCTGCAAGAGCAACAAGTACTCTTAACTGCTAATCCATCTTTCCAGACGTGTCTCTGGTTTGTTTTGAGGCGAGGGGCTGGCCAACTTCTGCCATACGCCTCAGTTTCCCCAGAGGTCATATTTCAATAGCCGGTTCATTTCGTGAGCTATTGTGCCACCCTTCCTAGTGGACTGGCTAGGGCTGTGAAGATGAGGGCATTTGACCACCTGTCACAGGCTAAAAGAAGTCAGACAGAGGTCAAGCCACCAGGGAGTCCTGGCAGAGGATGAGACTTCTGAAAGTGGGCTTGGATAGGAGGAAGAATCATCTCTCCCCAGCACTCACTCCGTCTGAGGGGTCCAGCCCCTGAAGGCACTCCTCCTTAACCCAGGCTGGGGTTGCAGGCCGGC